AATCCTAGTGTCTAGGTGTGGGTCCGTAAGGATCTCGTCCATCTTGCCTATCTGAGCTTTACCCTTCCCAATCAACTTCGCTATGTGTGCGTCCCATGAGCACTCCTTCGAAATCTCTACTCCCAGGTACGTATACTTGTCTACTACCGGTAGTTCTTCCTCCCCCCATTTCCATTTGAATTCTACGGGATTTTTCTTGTCTTCGTTACAGACCACTACTGCGCATTTTCCTACGTTCGCCGACAGTCTCCATTTTCGGGTGTATCCTACCGCCGCATCTATTTGTTCTTGCAACCCTTCTGGTGTTTCGGATACCCCCACGAAACCATCTGCAAACATCAGTCCGGACACACTCTTTCCCTCTACTTGGACTCCCTGTCTTACTGCTTCAACCGCCCTTATCAAATCGTTGATGTAAATCTTAAAAAGAGTGGGTGACATCGTACATCCCTGTGCGACTCCTTGGAGTATATCCACGTACTTCGAAATTTCCCCATCCAACATCACCGCACTTCTTATGCATTCTGTCATATTTTTCAACATCCTCCACATTTTCCCCCGGATGCCGATGTCCCACATCTTTTTCCACAATCCATTGCGCCATACGGTGTCGTAGGCTTTTTGGACATACATCGAGGAAGAAACAGTATGTCGTACGCCCGGCGTTTTTCCTACCTTGGATGATTTTACTCAACGTATATACATGGTCTACACAACTACGATCTGGTCTAAATCCAGCTTGTCCTTCGCTGATCTTTTGTTTCCCCTCCAACATGTCTCCCATTCTATTGTCTATCATCTTGCCAAACAGTTTCCCCAAAGTGCTCAACAGGGTTATCCCTCTATAATTCCCCGGGTCAGCTTTATCCCCCTTTTTGAACAGGTTCACGACTACTCCTTCTCTCCATCTCTTCGGCGCGTACTCGTGTTTCCATATCCAGTTGAATATCCGGACCAACATGTTAATCATCCCCTCCCCCCCCTGTTTCAAAAGCTCGTTCACAATTCCATCAGCCCCTGCTGCTTTTCTATTCTTGAGTTTCGCTACGCAGTCCTCTACCTCTTCTCGTGTGAACTCTCCCTGCAACCCGTCTACATCACTACGTTCCCTCTGAGATCTTTCAACGTTTTCCTCTGCCCACGAGTTGATTTCCTTCTCAAACTCCGAGTCGAAGTTGTCGTTGGTGGTGGGTGTCCCAAGTTTGCGGTAGTGTTCTACTAGTACTTCCCTCTTTCCTTTAGAACTGCTTACCATCTTACCCACGGCAGATCTTAGGGTCGTTATTTCCGTGTCTCCCCCTCTCTTCCTGCCCACTATCCCTTGAATTCCTACCCACATTTGCTTCATCCCCCCCTCAAAATCTTCGTTAGTCTTTTGGACTACTTCCTCCCACAACCCTTTCTTCTTCTTCACGACCAACTCCTTCACCCTCTTTCTACTTTCAACATACTCCTTCCATCCTGCATCTGTTTTCCCTGCCGCATGTTT